GCTATAAGAATTAGAGGTATCAGGGAGAGTGACCGGCAAGATTTGAGACAGGTTTGTGCTGATGCCTTGGCTGTGCTGTTAAAAATTAATTCTGATGAGATTTTTTACAAAATAGACAAAATTTACAGAGTGAATTCGTGGGTGGCCAGACAAAGACAATTACCAAGAGATGTGGTGATATATTTTACAGACAGAAGAATGAGAAATGATATTTTGCAAAAATCTTTTCTTTCCTCTGTGCAAGTGGAGGGAACTCAAGTTGAAATTTATAAAGAATTACCCCCAAAGATGCTGAAAGATAGAAAAGACTTTGGTTTTTTAGTAAAGGAATTAAATAAATTAGAGATACCATTTCGGTGGGATGCCCCAATGGCTATAATTTTGAAGTATCATGGGGAAAGATATCGACTGAATACTGTTGAAAAGGCGGAACATTTTTACCATACTGTTTTTAAGGAGAGATCACCATCTCCACGTTCATCTACTGTATTGGAGATAAAGGAGAGTGATAAGGAGAAGCAACCCCAGCAAGAGTTGGAAGTGCAGCTTAAGCAGGCCGAATTAGATCCAATAGAAGTGCAGGGTGCTACAGGAGGTTTTCTGGAGGAGCCCCTGTTAGAATCCTCTCCAATTTTGACTACAAGAGATGTGGCTTTGGTTCTGGCTCGTATGGCTGAAGCTAAAGACCAGCGAATAACTCATGCGGTTTCAAAACAACTCAAAGAAAAACAATTGCAAGAAAGAGCTAAGGCACAACAATATAAAAAAGGAGCTAAGAGTACTACAGAACACAGTGAAGCCATGGGGAGAGCAAAGTCGGTGGCCTCGGAAGACATCCGGCAATTCTGCTTGTCGCTTCAAAAAAGTATGCATGATGGTTAAGTTTTTGTCATGGAATGTGAATGGACTGAACTCACCACAGAAAAGAAAGAAAATATTTACATATCTGCAACAATTTAATAATGATATAATTTGTCTACAAGAAACTCATATTAGAACGCAAGATCAAAAATACTTGATAAACTCCAAATTAGGATCACACTTTATAGCTTCAAATTTGGAAAAAAAGAATGGTGTGGTTATTTATACAAACAAAAGATTATCAGCTAAAATTATAGAAGTGAATGAAGGTGGTAGGTTTGTAGCAATTGAACTGCATACTGTACATGGTCAAATTCTTGTGATTGGAATTTATGTTCCTAACCAACAACAGGATCACTTTTATAAAATTTTGCATACTAAAATATTGCAGTGGGATTATAGATCTATTTTGATCATGGGAGACTGGAATGGAATAATTGACTCTAAACTAGATAAAATAAGTCTGGCGAAGTCTAGGATTAGACTACCACAAACTTTTTTTGACATGAAAGAAGATCTGGAATTAAAAGATGTTTGGAAAATACACAATTCAAAAGACTTGGATTATACTTTTTTTTCTGATAGACACAGATCCTTTTCAAGGATTGATTTTATTTTATTATCAAATGATTTACTTGTTAAAACAAAAAGAACTAAAATCTTTCCAAGAACTTTATCTGACCACAGCTCAGTATGGATAGAAATTGAGATTGGGAAAATTGAGAGAAGATCATGGAGATTAAATGAAAATTTATTTAGATATGAAAAAAATATAATAGAACTTAAGAAGCAGATGAAAGAATTTTTTGAAATTAATATGAACAAGGGTACCCCTATTGAAATTGTCTGGGATGCAAGTAAAGCGTATATGAGAGGGGTACTCATTCATATGAATTCTAAACATAAACTGAATAGACAAAAGAAAAGATTAGAAATTGAAGCAGAGAAAAAAGAACAGTTACTTATCAAAAATCCAGCAGATGAAAGAATACGTGGAGCTATAAAAACTTTTGAAAGATCAATTCCAAATGTTTATGGCGGATCAAGTTGCAACAAACTTACAATACGCAAAGCATAATACATCCAACAAGCCGGGCAGATGGCTGGCTTATACATTAAGGAAGAAACAGAGTATGCGGACTATCGACTGTATTGATACTGGAGGGAAAGAAATTCATCAACAAAAATTAATTAAAGAAGCTTTTGTAGATTATTATATTAAATTATATGCTAAAGATGACATACAGAATGGACTTATAGAAAAATATTTAGAAAACAAAAGAGTTACAAAAGTTACTAATCAACAAAAGGAAAGAATGAATCATCCTATAACAGTGGAGGAAATAATTGCAGCAATTAAACAACTGAAAACTGCCAAAGCTCCGGGAACAGATGGATTGACTGCAGTGTATTATAAAACTTTGCAAGCAGAAATGGTGGAACAACTTAGAGACTTATTTTGTAATATACAACAAGGGGGTAAAATACCCCCATCATGGAAAACAGCTTATATTTCTTTGATACCAAAAGAGCAAGCAGGTCCTAAAAAACCGGAGAATTATAGACCAATATCTCTTCTGAATAATGATTATAAAATTTATGCAAAAGTACTAGCCAACAGGTTGATGCCAGTAATTCAAAAGGTGATTCATGATGATCAAGCGAGATTTATAGAGGGTAGATATAAGAAGGACAATGTAAGGCAAGTTATAGATTTATTGGAATATCTTGAGAAGAATAAACAGATCCCTGCAGTGCTGGTTTTTTTGGATGCGGAGAAGGCCTTTGACAGAGTGGATTGGAATTTTCTATTAAAGACTTTGAAAAAGATGGACTTTGGGGATCAATTTATACAAGCGGTATCAGCAATCTACCAAGAGCAAAAGGCACAGATTATTATTAATGGAAATTTAACAACAGATTTTAATATTGAGAAAGGAACAAGACAAGGTTGTCCGTTATCCCCTTTGTTATTTATTTTAACACTAGAAGTCTTGTTGAATACAATACGGGATTCGAACAGTTTGAAAGGTATAGTGATAAGGCAAGAGGATTACAGACTAAGGGCATTTGCAGATGACCTGGTTGTTACCCTTTCACAGCCGATGGAATCAATAATCCAGATGAAAGACATTATAAAAGATTATGGTACAGTATCAGGATTTAGACTGAACCAGAAAAAAACTAAGATGATAGTTAAAAATATGACACAAGATCGAAAATATGAACTTGAAAGGATGGCAGGTTTTGAGATTGTACCAAAGGTTAAATATTTAGGAATTCAGGTGGCAGAGTCAAATATGAAATTATTTCAAAACAATTATGAGGTGTTATGGCGAGATGTACGAAAAGATATGGAGACTTGGAAAAAGCTGCAGCTCTCGTTACTTGGAAGAATAGCAGCAGTTAAGATGAACATTTTGCCAAGATTTCTTTTTTTTGTTTCAAATGATTCCGGTGCTTAAAAGTGATAAACAACTGAAAGAATGGCAAAGTGGAGTGAATAAGTTTGTTTGGAATGAGAAAAAACCGAGAGTGAAACTAAAAATTATGCAAGATGCTCCAGAGAGGGGAGGCCTTAAACTTCCAAACCTACAGATATATTATGAAGCAGCAGCTTTGACTCAAGCAAGCGATTGGTTTGGAAGGAAAAAGACTGGAATACTGAATATAGAAAGTTTTGATCTTGAATTTGGATGGCATGCTTACTTATTTTATGACAACAAAGTGGATAAAGTATTTAAAAGCCATATACTTAGAGACTCTTTGATGAGAGTTTGGAAGAAGCACCGATTCAAATGGGATTATAAAATACCGCTATGGTTGGATCTTGGTCATATTATGTGGAATACAAATATAATGTCACTCGGGGGTTTTTTATATAAAGAAGTTCTTTTTACAGATGCGGGCAGATGGCAACTAAAGACATTAGAGACACTGTTGGATGAAGGGATTAACTTAACCTGGTTACAATATAATCAACTTCAACAGAGATGGAAAGAGGACCAAAAAACTGGTATTATGTTGCATGAGGAAGAATTGGTTAGACATATAAAAGAGAAAGGTCCAATGCATATTAAAAGGCTATACAATGTTTTGTTAGAAAGGGATTCAGAAACTGAATTGGTTAAAGATTGTATGATTAAATGGGCACAGAATTTTGCAGAACCAGTAATGTTGGAAACATGGGAGAAAATATGGGTTCAGAATGTTAAATTTACGCAATCGCAGAATTTGAGGGAAAACTTTTATAAAATGTTTTACAGATGGCATTTAGATCCCAAGAAATTATCCTGTATGTATCCTAATGTTCAGCCAAAATGTTGGAGATGTGATAGTCTAGATGCTACATATTATCATGTTTAGTGGAATTGCAAGAAAGTCAAGGCTTTTTGGATAAAAATATGGTGGGTTATGCAGAATGTTTTGAAGAAAAAAATTCAATTTTCTCCACAATTGTTTTTATTGGGTATAGTAAAGGGTTTTACATTGGATGAAACTAAGTTGATATTGTACATGATAACAGCAGCGAGATTACTGATAGGTAAATATTGGAAAAATGAAGCCTTACCCACTATTGAAGAATGGACTTTCAAGATGGCCAGTTTTGCGGAGATGGCGAAGATTTCAGCATATTTAAAAGATCGCTCACAAGAGACTTATGAATGGGAATGGAAAAAATGGATAGATTATGTGCAAAAAAAATACCAAGTTAGGAAGTATCAAATTGTTTTTCATTGAAAGTTATATAGAAATAGAAATGTATGAATTGTGAAGAGAGAAAAAATTATAGGGGGTTTGAGGGGTTCAAGTTTTTTATAAAAAAAGAGGGATTTTGATGGGATTATATTCTGTGGAAGTCAGAGGGGGTGGGTCAGCGGGGGTTTGGGGGGGTTAGGGTGGGGAGGAGGGGTGGGTTGGGGGGGGAAAGTGGGGTGAAAATGTAATTGTAAAACTTTTGCAATTAAAAAAAAAAAGAATTCTCTATCAGGACTTTGAGCTATCAAGGATTTCAGCCTGTTGGTGAGACTGCCAGCATCACAGTTAAAAACTAACAACTGGAGAATCTAGTCCTCCTACCTAGAGTAACAGATGCGTCCCTGAGTATTTTTTGTATTGACTATTCTTTTCTGTTACAGCCAACGGTGCTTTATGTGCCTTACCAAGTCATCGGAGGTGGAGAAGTCACAGCTGAACCAAATCCTTCTCCTCCACCACCGACTTACGATAACGTGGTTACCAAATCTCAGTAAAACAAGAAGGAAATATGAGAATTGTTGGCAAAAGAGATTTCAGGAGAAGCAATGAATTTCATATTACTTTACTTTGTGCTCCAGCTTGCTTGTTTTGCAATGAATTTTATATTACTTTACTATGTGCTCCAGCTTGCTTGTTTCTTCTTCAGTTATAGCCTTTAAACACCACATTAAATGGGGGCAAGTTTTGAAAGTTCTTCTATTTTACTGGATACCTAGTTATAATGCTTCCAAAGAAGCAAGAATTTGTGCTGGAAATCATCAGTGTATTTATGAAGAAGTACTATATATTCTGTATAGTGGATGATGGAAGCTGTTTATTTTGTTTATACTCTAGATGATGTTTGTTTTTTGTGACAAATATGGAATTAAGTAGGAGATGTGATGCAGATAAAAAACCAGCTACTAAAATTAAAACACAAATTATTAATAAAACATGTCATTGACACAATACAGATAGTTCTTGACTTATGACTGCAATTTGGACAAGAACGTCCATTGCTAGGTGAGACAGCGTAAGTGAATTGTGACCATTTTTGCCACTGTTACTATGTGAATTATTCTGGTTGTTAAGTGAATCACATGGTGCTTCAGTGAATCTGATTTCCCACACTGACTTTAAATTCCGGCTGGGAAGGTCACAAATAGCAATTATTATTATTTTTTTTATTGAAAAAGTTTTCAAATACAAATTTTTCCCCCTTTTCTCCTTCCCCCCCTCCTCCCTAACCCCCCCTCGCCACCCATCTCCCCGTGACTTCTTCACACCAAAAACCTAATTCATAACAGATTACATAATATTTTAACATCGCCTTACTCCCTCCTCTATATACTGACCCTTACTTACTAAAAATATTATTAATATTGTTACTTTCCCCTTTTATCATACATTTCAAAAAAAAAGCAGTCTGCTATAACATTATATGATAACTTCTAGTTTAGCATAATATTATTATAACTCCCAATTTAGCAATAATCTGCCCTTTTTGTCCTCCCCAAAACTTATATCTATATATTATTACAACATTTCAAAGCAACCTTCCACTTTAAGACTGTATAATAGATCCTACTTTAACATTTATTCTTTGTGTATATTAATATAACATTTCAAAGCAGCCTTCCCCATAAATCCTAATTTACCATTTATTCAACTCTATCCATTTCCTCCACTGCCCTAAATATATCACTTAAACATCCCTTTTCTTAAGCTAATCCATCAGTAGACTAACATATTTCCACCCACTTTCCTACAAAATTACCATGCACAACAATTCTTAATATCTTTAATCCACTGCCCACTCTGCTAAAATATATATATATATATATATATATATATATATATATATATATATATATATATATATATATATATATATATATATATATATATATATATGTATATATTCCGTTATTTAAAAAAAAGAAAAGACAATAACTTTAAATTTATAATCCATATAATATCTTCTTTGATGTCTTTCCACTGGATTGTTGAGTCCCTCATCCATAATTGGGTAACGTAGCATCCTGGTGCAACAGTTTGTTCAAAGTCTTCAGTCATCATCTGCCCCCATCAGTAATGAATATCCTCATATATATATAAAAGTAAAAACAACCACCCGAGTGACATTATGATTATATTCCATATAGTTGTAATTGTGGCTTTCATCAGGATTATTAATTCCCATCATCCTAATGGGTAACAACCAGATCTTCTGCATGCCCCAACGTAACTCTCTTGCCTTGTAGCTCAGAATAGTTATAATATATTTATCAATACGAGAAAGAAATCCAAAATAGATAATTCAAATCCAACAGTTTAAGGCTCTTTTCACATCCCAAAATTACGGCATTGCAGAGGTCTGTCACTGTCCTCAGGATGATATTAACCAATACTTCGCCTCCACTATCTTTTCACATATTCATTCATTTTTTTAAAATCACTGGCTTCACCGTTGCTTAATTTAGAAATTTCTGTTTTTATGAGACCTATTTCTTTTTTTCTTTTCTTTTTGTGGGTTTAATTTCCATCCTGTTTTCCTTTCTACAAGTTGTATATCAACTGATCGGTTTTCATTCTGCTTTATAAGTTGATCTTGTTGGTTTTGTTTTTGTATCTCATATTTCTTTTTTGCCAATTGTATATCAGCTAATTGATTTCCATACTTGTCTTTAACTTGGTGAATCATCACGTTGAAATCAGATGCCGCTTCTCTCATATTTGTAGATAATCCAGCTGGGGTATCGAGAGAATCCAAAGGCAATTTGTCTACCGCAACCTCTGTAATTCGATGTTTTCCCTTTATTTCCAACTCCTTCTGCTTATCCTGTATTGTGCCTATAGATGTTAAGTTCATTTTCAAAATTTTTTGATAAAATTCTTCCGCTTTTTCAACAGTATCTAATTGGTATCTTTCTCCTTGATATCTCAATATTATGCCAACTGGGGCATCCCACCTAAATGGAATATTTCTGTATTTTAACTCAGTCACCAGAAAACCAAATTTCTTCCTTTCCGTTAACATCTTGGGGGGGAGCTCTTTGTAGATCCATATCTTTCTTCCATACAATTGCAAAGTAGAATTGAAGGAATTTTGCACAACATTATTCCTGATTTCTTTATCTGTAAAATAAATCACCACATCTCTAGGCAATTGCCTTTGCTTTGCAATCCAGGAGTTTATTCTGTACACTCTGTCAATCCTACAAAACACTTCCTCAGGTTGAACCTTTAAAATCCCAGCCAGAATTTCAGAAGATATTTTCCTTAAATCATCTCTGTTATTTTCCTGCAAACCTCTGAGTCTGATCGCATATTCTGTAAAATTGTAATGCACCATTAGAACCTCTCTTTCAATCCGTTGTTGTAAATTTTCTGCATTACAAGACTTTTGTTCAACCTCCATTTTAGGTTTTTCTTCTGAGCTATTGTCTTGAATGTTTGTCAAATCATTTTCAATTTTTTGTATTTTATTATCCAAATTGTCCTCAATTTCTTCCACTTTAGACTCTAATAAGTTAGTATTTTCATCCAACTTAATCATAAATTCTGCAAAGCCATTAGCCATTTTTATAATCTTTCGATCCAGAATATCAAACTTTAATTGCACTAATTCTTTAATTTCCTGCTTAAATTTTTCAAAGTTCTGATTCACAATCTCATCCCTTCTTACAATCTCCTCCAAAAGAAATTCAATTATATTAAAATCAGTTTTCTGAGACTGGAGCTTTAAAACTTGGTCACGTAATTTGTTAATGGGGGAATCCCCCCCCCCATTGCTTGTTTGTCTGGCTTTAATGCCATATTTCAACACAGACAAACTATTTTTTAAAAAAAAAAAGAAAAGAGAGGCAGCAGAGAAAAAAAAACTTCTTTCCAACCAAGATCAATATCAAATCTCCAGGAAGAGAAAAAACACAAAAGTAGAGCTTTATTTTCAAGTGTAGCCAAAAATATTTATTCAGCTACTTTGTATCTCAATAGGAAACGGAAGGACTCTCCCTTTCAGCCCCTTCTCAAGCCTCGGCAATCGCCCTTTTTAAAGATTCTTTTTTCCTTTTCCTTTTCCTTCTTCAATAATTGTTATAAAATAAATGAGATACTTGCAATTCAGAGTCACAGGTCCAGCTCATATCCCTTCAAATGTAGCCAGGAGCATTTATTCTGCTACTTTGTAACTTAATAAGAAACGGAAGGACTTTCTCTTTTCAGCTTCCCTGCTCCAGTTTCGGCAATCGCCATTTTAAAAGGTCTTTTTTACTTTGTTGAATATCCTTTGCGAAATAAGTATTAATACTTGCAATTTAGGGTCACAGGTCCAGATCCAAATCTCATCATCTTTAGTTAATCTGTTAAATATCTTAAAAAGCTTGTCTTCGTAGCCTTGTTCTGCAAAAAGGCAGAAGTCTCCCAACGCCCGGAGCGGGCGGCGAGTGCTATAGGGAGCTTCCTCCGCCCGCCCCCAAGAGTAAAAAAAAAAACCCTGGGGGCTACGGAGAGCTCTACCTACACTCACCTGCTCTATCCCACATTTCCTCCTGGAAATGGGGTTTTTCGAGCCGCCTTTGCGTTGTACAGGCGGCTCTTTACAGGCGAAGGGGCTGGCGGTCCCAAGAGACCGTCTGGTGGCTACGAAGAGCAAACCGGAAGCCCCCCACAAATAGCAATTATTGATTCTGGCATGCCAAAACTGTCATATGTACATGCTGGTTGCCAAGCATCTTGAGTTTTGATCACATGATCACGGGGATGCTGCTACATGTGAGGACTGGTCATAAGTCACTTTTTTTAGTTCTATTGTAACTTTTGTCACTAAACAACCAGTTGTAAGTTGAGAACTACCTGTAGTAGCAGTTGCATAATCATGGTGATCGCAAAACAGATTAGAAGAAGTTTGTATACAACTAAAATATTCTATATTGTTAGGGTACTTAAATTGATCAAAACCACATTTTTTTAATTGTTCTCCCACCTCCAACACGGGAAGTTATAAGCACATTCATTATCTGCATCCTGGAAGATTTCACAATTGTGTAAACATGCAATTCCAAAATCAAAGCCATTCATACTTTCAGAGAAGGTGTGTGTGTGTGTGTGTGTGTGTGTGTGTGTGTGTGTATGTGTGTGTGTGTGTGTGAACTATGACCCCTTTACAATCTGTGAACCTGAACTCTCAGAATGTATAGAAGATTAGTTGCTTGCTTATCGATTGTGGGAATGAGGTAGCCATGGTGTATGTGTAGATCAGACTGATTGGTTGGAACCCATATGCAGAGCCTGGCACCGAGATAATTTGGAGATCATGAATCATTAGACTGTTTAAGTTTTGTTTTGCTTTAGGTATTGCTTTCCTAGAAATCATGTGATTTACTGTAGGGATTGTAGGATATGAAATTTATGCCCATATATGGGGTAAATATGTAGTAACTGAATGCTTTCCTTTTAATCATGAATGTAATATGAGAATGTATAGCTGTAATCATGTCTTCTGATACGCCCCATACCCTTGTTTAATAAAAGAGAGGTCTGGAGTCAGCTCGAGGCTCTCTCATCCCGAGAAACACCTGTGTCTGTGTCTTTTCTAATCTGGACCCCTCATGAGCAGCCCACCAGATGATCGCAACAATCGATAATTACACGGTGAAAAGTTTGACCCCCTGCAATGATTTTTACAGGGGTTCAAAATGTACATTTGCACAGTTTTTGAGGTTTAGGTTGATAGGCAACATCCTGTATGCAATTTAGCCACAGCTGAAATGAGGCCACTCTTACTTCCTTTCTTTTGTGTTTGTGGTGAGATTCACTGGGTGCAGCTGAGAACCAACACACTGAAAATTGTGCTGTCAGGGTTACGAGTGGAGTCAAATGAATTGAAGGAACAGGGTTTCATTTAAAATGTGTGAATGTGCTTCAGAAAATGAGCAAAAGATACCCCTTTCATTGCTAACTTAAGT